CGCTATTTTTAATTGTATGTAGTGCTATGATTGATTGTATTTAGTGCTATTTTTAATCAGGATGTATTTTATTAAAAATAGCAACTTAGCATTTGTAAAAATGATAGCACCATGTAAAATTAAAAATAGCATCATACACAATTAAAAATAGCATCAAATATGGTTCTCACGGTTCTCACACCAGAAAAGGTTTTTATTTGAACCACTCCCTATATATATATATATATATATATATATATATATATATATAACTTTTCAACGACATGTTCTTTCGTTTTTCTCATCATTTTTTCAATATTTTGAGCTTTAATGTCAATGTTGTTCATTATTGTAATTTTTTAAATTAATTACAATGTAATTTGTTTTCTCTTCTCAATATTTTTAGCCTTAATGCCAATGTTGTTCATTATTTAATTTTTTAATTATTACAATGTAAAATAAAATCTTGTTTATATAGAAATACAGAAATAATATGTTAGCTAGAGAACAAAACCAATACATTGATTATGTATAAATAAATTAAATTAACATTTAAAAGCCATAAATAAAACTAAACAAACACAAGGGTTAAAATATAATTATTAAAAACTTTTATAACGGTGAACAGAGGAGAGCGAAAACTAGATTGAACGCATTTTGCCATGCATTTTGCAGTAGAATTGAAACATTATTTTTCTTCAACTTGCCTTTGCGTGATTGCGTCTATATTTTCCAGTACGGTAGGAGCTGCTCTTACAAAGATCTTTAACGATCTTCTATCGATCTCAACTGAACATCACCGCCGAAATTTAATTGTGTTTGATCCAAATATTAGAGAGAAAATTAGTTTGTGCATATACAAATTCCTTTCTATCTATACATTTACAAGATTTTGTTAATTACAAATATATTAAAAATCATTGTTTATGAATGTTGATTTGTGGTATATTTTTGTCATTCGTTTCTAACTTGCATTGTTGTTTGGTTTATAACTCATGTTTCTAATGATTCATTTGACTTTATTTACAATGATTCGGAAATTTGCAACAGTTTTCATAAGTGTCTTAAAACATGTAACTAAGTCGGAAGAATTGGATATTTAGTCCTGTAAGTGACACCTAATTGAGAAATAGTTCGGTAATCTAGTTTACTTTACAAAACACCCTCTAATTGTAAAAAAAACCCGACTTTTGGTCTTCCACCGGTAAAAGTCGGTTCCTATGACTAGTTGCTGACGTGAATATTGATTTTTATTTTTTATTTTTTTTCGGTACATGCGGTAGCCAACTAACGTATCCAACTCAACAGCCGGTCAAATTGACCAGCTTTTGCGGTGGAAAAACTAAAAGTTATATTTTTTTGTTATAGAGTGTTTTATAAACTCAATCCAACTACCGGACTATTTCTCAACTTGGTGTCAGAACTAAATTACAAATATTTCCTAACTAAGTCCAATGTTATATAAGCTTACTCCTTACGAAAAGCAAACAACTTGAGTCTTTATATATGAAGCAGAACTTATGGTGCTTCATACCAACTTTTTTTCTCCTCAAAATACAAGTAAATAGTGTCATGAATTTTTTATACAAGCACATGAATAAGACCAAAGAAAATAAAAAGACTACAACAGAATCACCTTCATGCTCATAAACATATCAAAAGGACAACCACTTTCATCTCCTCTTTGCTCAAGAACCAGCAAACTAATTTATGCAGCCAACCAAAAAACAAAAAAAATATTATCCTACTAATTAGCTCCAACAACATACATCTCAAACTATTGCAGCAAGTTATGCTCCACGACCGGGTTTTAAAGCAATCTGCCAGAAAAAATAATAACAACAAACTCAACGCTCCTCATTCTTCAAGAGTATCACAATTTGCAACTAAAGCCCCTTCACTACAAGAACACAATGTCTGAGAAAAAAAAAAGGAAAAAAATTAACAAAATAAAAAACTAAAAATAAAACAACAGACCATTTAATTTGTTGCCTTAAGAGCTTCAGCCTCTTCATCACTGTAAGGAGAATCTCCGGGTTTTTTCCCGTTCTCTTCAGACAACTGACCGGAAAGCAGAGTTTCTTCGTCGGGTCAAGGTTGATTCTCTTTCTCGATCTCATCCACCGTTTGTACCACCATCACAAGATCATCACGACCGCCTTCACCGGAAAAGTCGACCCCAGACTCCGCTGGAGCTCCGTTTCCGGTCTCCGGCGAACTATCCGGCAATAATGTCTGGTCAATCCCGTCGGCTGCCGCAATGTAGATGTTGGGGCCCACTAGGTGATAGCTTCCAGGCGGGACCCACGGCTGACCTGGCATGAACTCTGTGGCATGCGGGTTCATGATTCCAATCGGGCTGTGCTCGGGCCTGGCCCGAGCAGGAGCCCGGCCCGAGAGGCGCGGGCCATATGGGACCCGGGCTGTGGCCGGAGACTGATGAGGTGGCCGGCGGCTGGTGGGGTTGATTCGGAGCATTGGGGCTATGTTGACAGGTGGCGGCAGTAACCCACCGTGCTCGTTGTAGACTGGGAGGGGAACCGACACGAAAACGGGGACCGTGGAAGGATTGAACGGGGGTGCTGCGGCGGATAATTTCTTGGTTGGCTCGGGACTTGCTCGACTTTCTCCTTCGTTTGTCACGGGCAAACGGTTTTCGCTTGCATCATCACACGAGGCATCTTCTTCCATAAGCGCCGTGGAATTAATTGGGGGCTGGATAGTGCCAGTTGAAGTTTCTTCGGATTTTTCGTTTTTAGAAATTTCAGAGTTTTCGATATCTGGTGATTTTTCATCATTTGTTGTCACTACTTGTTGAGCTTCCTCTTTACCAGTTGCATTGATTTCTTCTTTGTTTTTCTCAACAACCAGCTTTTCAGCTTCAACTGCTTCTGACTTCTTCAGGGTTGATGCTTTTTCTTCAGTATAACTATAACCCTCGTTAGATTGTTCCGAGACTGCCATCACGATACTGCCTGGTGGGGCCAAAGCAACCTCTTTGTAAGAGAAAAGTTTTCCTTTTCCAGATGCCTGAAAACTTACAGAACTAACCGCAGAAGCTGGCGTAGCAGGCGCCGATTTCGGATTTGCAGCTTTATCTCGTCCATTTTGAGTGGGCCCGGGAGGACTGCTTAGCTTTGGGCTAAAGCTAGCACTCTTTGTAAATTTTTTCGATCCGGATGAGGCAGCACTCTCGTTTGTGAGTGTTCTTGGGGAAGAACTGTAGTTAGTCGATCTACCTCGGAATTTGGATGGATGAGAGGGGTTCAGATTATTGGTGTTCAGTTTCGCGAGACTTGGCCTCTTGCGTCCAGCTGGCGAGCGCCCTTTAGGGAAAGCTTCTTGCCATCCTCCTTCTTCGGACAATGTGTCATCTTCGTAAATATTGTCGTTTTGATCGGATGGTGGTGTTTTGTCTGTTGCAATTGAATCGGGATTTTTGGTGGGGTTGGTAAATTGAGGCTCCGGTTTGTTCTGTAATTCGATTCTGTTCTCTTTGTCGCTCGAGTTCTCGGTTATGGGCTCATCTGCTGATACGAGTTCTTCCTTTTGATGTTCATCAATCGCAGTTTCCGAGTTTGGACCGGTTTTTGCTTTAAGCTGAGAAAGAAATAGAGGTTATATTTTTTCAGGAAATTGAGAGAATTATACGATAATTGATTGAAAATAAGAATTTCGACCTTGGCGCGAGCTTGCTTCTTTTGGGCATCTCTTGCTTTCATGGCATCGGGAGTTATGTAGTCCAACAGATCCGACACACTGCACTCACAAAAGAAGAAGATAAGTATGTTTAAGATTATAGAAACCCATAGTCAGGATATTTTGGAAGTCTTCACAAAACTGATTTTTTCAATAGATATTGTACAATGGAAGTCAAGAATCTGGATGCCTGATCCTTTTTCCAGGCCAGATAACCAAGAATAATTTATAAGATCCATCAAATGGAGAAAAGAATAACTCAGAAGAACAGATAATATAAAAATAACCTCAAATGGCCTTTGCTAGAGATGGAAGCATCTGGTTTTGGAGTGCCATTACGCGCAGCTTCTTGCTGCTCGAGAGCTTTTGACTCGAAATATTCAAGCCATGCAGCCGCATCCTAAAAAAAAAGGAAAATAAGATAAAGTGGGCCCATCTCTCCCAAATGTTGACAGCCATCAGACTTAAGCATGTTTTTACCTGCGTACGCAGATCATCTGATCCTAGTTTAGCCTTCAGTATCTGAAGAGTGGTCTGTTCGTGTTGAACGCTCAGAGAGTATGCCTCCATCAACGAGAGAGCAATTGCTATAGCATGATAGCTAGCAGCAGTCTACAAGACCAAAAAAATCCAGATACATAGAAGAGAGAGAGAGAGAGAGAGCGAGAGAGAGAGAGAATGAGAGAGGGAGAGAGAGAGAGAGAGAGAGAGAGAGAGAGGGAGAGAGAGAGAGAGAGAGAGAGAGTACTTGTATGTGGTCAGCTCCTAGAAGTCTTTGGTTACACTTGAGAGCCTCATGCAGATACCTAAGAGCAACATGGACATTCCCCAAACCTTCTTCCATCATAGCCACGTTAATATAGGTAGCAGCAGTATTTGGATGAGAAGGTCCGCAAGTCAAATGCAAGAGATACAGTGCCCGGTTGACATACCTAAAGACGAAAGACACAGCCATCTCTCTCCAGTCAAAATTTAATTATACAAATGAAAAAACATTTACATATTGAAAGAAATTTATAGCAGCATGTTAAATGTCTTGCAGTGATCGTAATATTTATGATTAATGTAGTGAAAGGCTTCAATGAACTGTATTGCTACTGAGAGTAGAAAGTAAAAGAAGCAGGAGATTGGACTTTTATTATGCTTTTCATTTCAGAAGTTTAGTGTTGAATTGCAACTAACTAGCTAGTTCACAGATGACATTTTATACATACTTCAAAGCAAGCTCAGTATGTTGGAGTCTGTAGTAGAAGACGGCTAAATCCCCATAGCTTTTCATTGTGTCCGGATGATCAAGGCCAAGCTCTCTTTCATTGATATCTAAAGCTTTTTGCTGGTAGATTGTAGCCTATACACATCAACATAAAATAAAGAACGAAACACAAGGATGTTAAAGATTAAATTTTACATGTTTGGCTCACGTTCCTATTTATAAAACCATATATTAAACAAATAAAGTGGATAATTTAGCTGCTATTTCCTAATGGTGAATGTAGTGGCTATGTTATTTCCTTATAAACATGAAATCTTGTTTCAAAGTGATTCTGCAATAGCTTGTTAGTGGTTGGCCAAAATTTCAGATAGGGGAACACTGTATCATGGTTTTCAGATGCATCAAGGGTAAAAACGGAAAGCAAAAGCATATGTGCTTGTATATTTGAAGTACACATCAACAGATGGTCATGCACACATTATAGGTAGCTCAGTTTCAGATTTAGAACTTGATAGTGATCGCATTTCGGTCCCAAAACATTGGTAATACTTAAAAATATCATTTGTCAAGGTTCATGTTTGGTAAAACAACTTAACCTACTTGCAATTTGACACCCGTGTGAAAATATAATGATCCACGGCATGAGTCAGTTCAATACAAAAAAATAAAATAAAATATAATTTTTGATTATTACAGTCCCAAACCTGATTAAAATCTCCTGTATGGTAGAGCACCACAGCCAGAAGACTATAAGCCCCAGCCGTCATTCGATGATAAGGACCACAGACAGAAACCAGCTTCGAGAGTGCCTTCAAAAAATTCAAATTTAATGTTTATTACACCTGTGAACCTAATTCTGAAGATTATATATAGCAGCCTCCAAGGTTAAGTGGAATAATTCAGGGTACTTGTTAAACCTTGGTTCCATAGTTAACAGCATCCTCCAATTTGCCCTTATCCAATGAGGTCTTAGATGATTCCAAGAGCGTACGTCCATCTGCAGATGAGCAAGCAACGTGCTGTATGAAAGGTAAATTGTTGTCAGAAGACTCAGAACATTAAAAAAGTACAAAAGAAGAAAAAAAAAAATTCAGTTATTGAAATGATAGCAAGCGGCAGACCTTATAAACAGGCACCATGCTTATTATGTCCGATTTCTGGAAGGGGAAAGGGGAATCCATATCATAGTCCCTTGGGACAAGTTCAAGTCCAACCTGGAATAAAAATCAAGTACATAAATTTGGTTAATCACTTTGTTAAGCCATTAAATTTCTCAAAATTTGGTTACCTTGTGGCAAAGCCCACGAAGAACTGCAAATTTTCTAATATCACGGCATGCTTCATCCTTCCATTGCCAGCCAAACCTCTTGGAAACGAATTCCTCAACCCACTTCCATTTCAGTTTGTCAACATTAATTGCATCTGAATCATCATTTTCCAAAGGCGGCTTACCAAGTAACATATTCAAGCAAGATGCAACTGATAAGGCCATGTTGGAAATATCATCAACGGCAGCTATAACAGCTTGCAAGATGTGCTTATAAGCTCGAACAATCATCTCGTGAATGCAGAGGGACTGGACATGAGGTAGCTTGTCTGCAAGTTCAACCTGATGTAGGAAAATCACGAACCGAAAGAAAATAAGTTTTGGAAAGAGTTCTATTAGTCTATAGGAACAAACAGTGAGAAGAAAAAAGGGAAAAAATAAACAAAACAAGAGGACCTAGAAAGAAGTTGAGATAAACATACAGTGTGTCCAGATTAGACTGGAAAATGTAGAGGGAGTATCAAGCAAATATGAATGAAGGCCATAAAATCAACCAGTACAGAAGCAGATTACCACACGGCCCAGGGAGCACATTTGTAAGCCCCTGGTATGCATGAAATCCGTCAGTGTCCTTCCATCAACAGGTGAAAGTTCGAGAGACCCAAAATCAGCAACCTGTGAAAGCAAAACTAAAAAATGAAACATCGTTTCAAAAGATCCCAAGAATTGGTTAAAGATACTATGAACAAGGCTTACCAGTTTTGGAAGGGCGGTATCATCATAGTATTTGTGTGCCATCTCAATTAACTCATCAGGAGACTGAAAAATATGGTTCAAGCCAGGGAAATAACGTGTCAAGTCACCACGCAACACTAAATTAACCAAAAATAAATAAAAATTGAAAACCAAAATCTTTTTTTCCTTCCACATTCTAACGATTATTAACCTGAATATACGTTGACTGGGAATTTTAACTTCACATATCCACATTAAGAATAATAGGGTGTTGGAGCAAACATAACTCACCACAAAATCAACAACTGACCTTAAGGTGAAAACCAGTTTCTGATTCTTTAAGGCGTAAATATGATTCTTCAGACAACAACTTCCTCCACATGCTTTCCTTTTCCTTGTCATTTTCAAGTTCCTTCTTAGTATCAAAACTCTGATCAGCAGGTAGTTCCTTGTTTGCTCCAGCTTTACTACTTTGATCATCTGACTTCTTTTTAAAATCCTTAAGGAGTCCGTGCTTCCCAAGACCCTTCACGGCCGGCTCAACTTTCGCTGCCTCTTTATTCTTTGGTTCATCTTTTCCCGAAGCCTGATTTTGAAGGTGTTGCACCCAACAGGCACCGAGCTCCCATCTAATCGACTTTGTCGGCTTGCATTCTTCCTCCTGCAGCCTTTGTAAACTTTCTATTAGAACCTTCCTTACCAAAGGCCTTGCACATCGTGATTCATCCACATCAGCACTTTGGATTCTTTGAGCTGAGCTGGATGATTGGTGTGAGGTTGACTTGTGCAACAACATTCTCAAGCTAAAAAGAAACAAAACATAAAAAATCGATAACAGAAATGGGGGCCTTGTTACAGAATAGATTAAAATGATGGCATCACCGAACGGCATTTTTCTCTTGATTATTTGCACAAAAAAAAATAAAAATTACAAAACAATAGAAAAGGGATAAAAAAGAAAATGAGTGGAGCTTCCTACACTGACCTATTAATGTTCAATGCATTTGCTCCTCCCTCAGGTTGCTCCTCAATGTCAATGTCCTGAGGAATAGAATCACCCTCCCTATTAACCTCTGCCGACACTTTCACGACAGCCGTGTGTCCACAGTGCCTGACAATCACAACACCTAAAGTAGCCGTATCCTGCACAAAAATAAAAATAAAAAATAAAAAATCCCATCACAAAAAACCAATCACACACNCAAACTAACATGCACAGTCGCACTCTCGTCAGCAGTTACTCCCTTCAGCAGGTTCCTCTCAATAATTTTCTCGAGCGAAACACCAAGAACGCGGGCCCCATCATACTTCCAGTCCGCCTTGCCACTCGCGTCCACCTCATCCCTCACGACGCTGATAAGCAGATCACCGACCCTCTCTTCGTGCAAAACGGACGAGCCGCAGTCACGTGGGCCCCGCTCACTACTACCCTCCTCCACCATCTGCTTTATTGCGCCAACTGCCCTGAAAACCGAGACGTCCACAAAGAGGCTGTGGAGGAGAAAGGCTTTCCGGTCGCGTATCTGCCTTTCCTCTGCAGTTTTGCAAGGCATTGCAGCCAAAATTGCGAATTCCCGAGCCCACGGGCGGCTGTCATGCTTCCCATCCCAACCCTGTCCACCTCCACTCCCTCCCCAGCTTTTGTCCTCAGCGGGAAGCTGTGGGAAGGAAGATAGGCTCTCTGAGACGACAGGTGGCACGAGCCAGGTGTTGGCCCGAAAACCGTATGGGAGGTTCCCGAACTGAGAGAATAAACGGCTAACATCAGTTAATGTTTTGGGGAAAGTTGTTTATCGGTTTGAGTACTGAAAAAGGAACTCACTTTATTGTGCTCTGTGAAAGCTTTCATAAGAGCGTTGTATGCCTGAGGATACAGAGAGATTTAAACAGTGGAAATTATAAAGCAATGTGTGTATATGTGGGGATCATTAGCTTTGGCAATTACTTACAGAATCAAAAGCTCTGCTAATTTGCTGCAGAAGGCCGGCTAATGAGTGATTCAAGAGAATGCGTTTCCCGGCGGGATAAAAGCCTTTCCGAGCGGCAACGATTGTCGTTGGCTTCCCACTGCAAATCCTTACCTAAATTCGAGTTTGGGAAGAAAAAAAAATGTGTGGACTTTCATAGTGAAGAACAGAAGTGGGGAAACAGAGTTTTCATAGTATACGAGTTAATGATGCTAACATCAATTTGAAAAAAATCCTCATCTGTTTTATCCTCGACGTACGGCCGAGTCGATCTCCTAATGTCTGCAATAGTTATGAAAAATACTGATTAGCTGATAAATAAATTACCATTGAAAAAAAAAAAATCTTCCGAAAGCTCACACTGTATGGGTGAGGTGAGGTGGGAGAACGAGAAGAAGTCGTAGAACTGCCCGAGCCTCGGCGGCGGGCACATCATCGCCGCCGTACTCTCGCCTTTTGCCGCCGAGTCAGGTCCGACGGCGGGAACCGGAGCCTCCGGGATTCCGGGCTTGTGCTTCGGCGAGACGGCGGCCTTTGCGTCAGCGGATTTGGGCTTCGGGCAGAAATCGGGGGCTTCATTCTGCGAACCGGGATCAGAGTGAGGAGAAGTGGCTTCTTTCGGGCCGGGATCCTTGGACCCGGTTCGACAGCCAGCTTTGTGAGAAGAGGAAGATGAAGACGATGAGCCGCCGAAGTATGCCGTGCAGGCAACTATGTCGAGGAGCCGCCGGACGTGAGCCACAGCTTGCGCTTCCGTGTACTCCTCTGCAGTGGATCACAAAGAATTTTTATTACAGATTTACCCCCTATTGTGATTAATTACATAATCGCCCTTTGACATAATTTGTAAAAGTGGTAATAAATGACAAATGGTTACAAATATGTAATCAATTTTGTTGAAAATTGAGTAATTATAATTAATTAAATTTTATTAATAATATTAAATCAAAAACTAAGATTATATGTATAGTGGATCTTGAGATAAAAATTTATATATAATCATAGTTTTGTCAAAAAAAAAAAAATATCGAGAGGACAAAAAGCAAAAAAATATATTATCAGTTGTTGTTAAACCAACAAATTATTGATGGGCTCGAATCGGCTTGAGTTTGGCTAGTAAATGAATTGTGCTTTAGCTCGTTTTACTGTTTATTACGTTGACGCGTGGATCTTCGAAATAGTTTTTACGTAACTTATTGAACTATCATATTAGTTTGATTTGTTAAATTCGAATTCGAGTAGTTAATTTTGATAAATAAGTCGAACTCGGTTGAGCTTGATAATTGCTCAAACTCAAGCTTAAGTATCAGGATATCGAGCTCGATCCTCGATTTACAACTATAGTCGCAACTAATTAATTCTCGGTTTACAACTATAGTCGCAACTAATTAATTCGTAAGAATTGTCAACATTGGCGGTAATTAATTCGTAAGAATTTAACTATTTTAGAAATGCACAAAGAGAACCAAAGTTACATTAAGTTTGGCAAATTTGGTATATGTAAAAAAAATTATAATTTATACAAACAATATTGTAATAAAGTTTTCAATAAATTTTGTTTGCCATCAATATCTAATGGAGACGAGATTGCATTGGTCTTTTAGGATAAGCATGGTCGCTTACCATCATTAGTTTAATTATGTATTTTTTATTTTATTTTATTTTATTTTATTTGTTTTAATATCTATTACTATATAATATGGAGAAGAAAAATTATTTGAACAATCCGAAAAAAAATCATTTCGTTTTCCCGCTTGAATATAGTGTTTTTTCCGCTTCTTCATTTCGTAAAAATTGTATGAATTTTTTCACATGTCCCGCCCATGCAATTTGGTAACCAATCAAATCGAATCCTTTAGCATACAATTTGGTAAGGTGTTCCGATTATTAAGCTTTTTTTGGTAAATTTGATAATCTGTTCGGAAAGATTTTTTTTGTATATCTGAATTATCTATTAATTGAATCTTTATTATAATTATTGGGTGATCCAATCACAATTCAAACATTCTCTCGGCAAACTATTAATCAAATCTCTCTTAATAATTTTGGGTGTACCGATCAAAACCCAACCAATTCTCTCGGCTAATTAGAGCTCCACGTCAGGAAATGGGCAAGCACAAGCTCGCTCTCGGTCTTCTCCATGCTCAACGGCGACGGCAAGATCATCCGGGAGGAGCAGATTTTCTTTTTATTATTTTAGGATGTTAGATTCGAATTTGTATTGTGTTTGTGTTGCAGTATATTGCATTTCATCAGCTTATGAAGTGTCTTTTTTATTTTGTTTGATTGGATCTTCCTTAATCGTTCGTATGCAGCTATTGTTGGAGTTTGAATTGTGACTAGAATATTTGCGGTAAAAGTCCTTAATTTGGTATATCTGTTGTCGGGACCTTCTCATTTTTTCCACAAATTTCTCGTGTTTTAATCTTGAAGCGATTTTGGTTTTCTTGATGATGGTTCTTTTATTACGCATAAATTTGTTTTGTCGAGTTGGATTTTTTTATGGGGGATGCTTTTTAGATGGTGGGTTGGACTTTCTGTTTGGGTTTCTCTAAAATTGGATTAATTTAAAATTCTATGACGGGCTTCAGTTTGTAAATTTGAAACCCCTGTTCTCCTGATTTATGTCGACGGCTTGGAGTTTGTTGTGTGCAAAGGGGAACATAAATATTCAGTGTTTCTGGGCATTTAACGTTTTTTAACATAAGTAACACGAAAAGGTCTCGTCTTTAGTGTAAAATCTTGGCGGGTAACATTGACGGTCGAGAGGTGGGAATAAGATTAGACGATCATGCTAAAGAGTTGCTTGATTGGGAGCTTGTCAAGGTTGCTGATTCTGGAGATAGTGTTGTGGTTATTCATGTATGTCGAAATTCGGGTAATCCGTTTTCCTTTGCTTTTCTGAACACTTCATGTTTTACCTCGAAGGTGAATGCTTGTGTGTGTGTTTTGATTCGCTTTCATGTTTTTGAAGTAAGTACTCGGTTGCATATTCTGTTTCGAACTAGAAAATAATGTTGGTCTACTTCGCCGACGACCGACGATGGGAGTCATCTTTTCGAATCGACATCCCCGAATTTTTAGAGGGATGAGCAGGGGTCGACCGAATAAGAGAATCCATCTCTTTTTTATGATGAGGGGCTGACCGCATACGCCTCTTTTCCATAACGAGAGGTCAACTGAATATGAGGGTATGTCTCTTTTTTATACAAGATTATCAAGATAGGAAGAAATGAAACTGTGAATGGTTTTTCTAAAGAGATACAATGACTTACAGACTTGGATATGGATAGAGTGATGAAGCCCGTTGGTTTGTTATTGCCATGGCATAAAAATAGGTGCTTGCCTGTATTGGGAGTATGCGAGATTTGCCTTGATACGTATGATTCTGTGGATTGCCATTTTTGGCATTGTTGATATGGCTCATATATTGACAAAGGAAGGAGGCAGGTTGATGCCTGCGAGTGGAGCGAGGGAGCGGAGTGAGTGGAACGAGCAGGCATCAGCCCTCTGTTGGGTTGGGTCAATTAGCTGGGTCGGGGGTGCGGGGGCTCCGCCCCCGCGGTACGGTACGGGGTATTTATGTAAATTTATACCTTGTAGGGTTATGATATAAATACATGGTGTATTGATGTATTTGGATAATCTGGAATAAGAAGATCACCCCTCCGCCGTGGACGTAGGCACATTGCCGAACCACGTAAATCTTGTGTTGTTTATTTTCTTGCCTTTAATTCGTATTGTCATTATTTCACAACAGGCATCAAATTCAAAGCAACGGCTATTGATCCGTCTTACAAGTGGCTTGCGGATGCGTGTCGTCGCCATGTCACGTTTGAGGTAGTTAATTATGTGTGGGTCGTTTTGATGACAAATAAATTTTCTGTTCGTGAGTATACCAAGTTATCGGCCCGTAAAATTGGTCCGGTCAAGATTGTGGAGACAAGATTGCGCGAGATTCGACTTTCCCGGAAGAGGGGAATCATGGAGACGAGATTGCGTTGACCTTTTTGGACAAACATGGTCGCATAACATCGTTGGTTTAATTAATTATATATTTCTTTTGTTTTATTTATTTATTTTCTCTATTTTAATATTTATTAATAGCATCCTAGATTTGTTAGGAAACTTATTTATTTTATTAGAGTTATTTGTATATTTACTCATGAGTTCTATTTAAATACTTATCTTCTATTGTTTTGAGAGAGTTTTTTCTTTTTCTTGCTTTCACTACGTCGATGCCTCTTCTTAATAGTTCTGAATGCCCCATCCATTACTGTTTCTTTCATAGTATTTTAAGGTGACTGAAATTGAAATCTAACTGTAGTCGATTTCAAAACCATGATTGCTACATTGATTGTTGTACCTACTACCTACTGAAGTCTGTGCCATGCTTTTGGAGGACTCAATGAAACTAATTATATATCAATGGTTTTATATTACATCTATGTAATATTTAATGTAGGCATATAATTATTGATAATTCATATATGACAGCATCTCTGTAAATAATAGGATTATATAATATTTAAAATAATATTGTTTACTGATAAAAATAACATTAAATTTAATTTCACAGTTCTCACACGAATATTTTTGTCTGTGTTTGACCGAACTTGACTGAGTGTAGTAAAAAAATTTACCTTCAAAAATCGTGAGGCTGCATGGTTTGAGAGAGATAATATCCACGGAATCTTTAAGATTCGCTCCTCGAACCTAAACCATCAATAATCACAATGGAATTATTTGTATTAATCAATTAATTAAATTATCTTCATATGATTTAAAGTAATTTTATTAACTTTGCATTATATGTTCCATTTATTTGATTTAAGCGAGATATATATATATATATATATATATATATATATATATATATAATCATCTCCTCAACCTAAAGATTTGTTTGAGTTGATTTTTTAAAAATAAAAATATTTAATATACTAAAATGAAAATATAAAATAAAATTGTAGGGTGCAAAATAAAATTAGTTTTACCTCGTGAGCCAGTGAGTAGTTGGTCAAGTGACACGTGTCAACGTGGACGGCCAAAAGTTTCCTCACATCTAAGATCTTGTCCGTCGATATTCCCTGCGGTTTCATCATTTGCATTATTTTTTTGTTTCTTAGTGTGTGTCTAGATACAAATAAATTCAATTCATATTTAATTCATACTCAAAATTTAAGTCAACTTTAATTAGACTTCAATTTATACAATATTATTAATATAATTAAATAATATTAATCAATCATTCTTACACATCACACTAAATTTAATTCATTATTCATCAACTTACATAATTTTGACTAACCATCACTTCAGATCATTTTTCTCTTATTTTTACATCAAACCAATTATAATTATTTTATTTTAAATATTATTATTCTATAAACTTAAAATCACACTAATAACTAATTAAACATGGCCACTGGGTCGCCCGGCCCGCCGACCCAACACAGACCCGACCCGGTCAAACCCGTTGACCACGGGTCCGGGACCGGTCCGGATTTCAGACGGACCGTGTAAGGATCCTGTTTTTTCGTCACTGACCCGGCGGGGCGGGTCGGGTCCCGGCCGGGTCCGGTCCGGCACGGAAAAAACCAAAGGTTTGGAATTTTTCTTTTTTTCTTTTTTTTTAAGACAACGGGACCGCCGGGCCATGGACCCGGCACGGACCTAGGTCGTGCCGGTTCAGGGTCAGCCCAACACAGTCCGTCGGCCCGTCGGGTCGGGCCAGGGCCGGGTTTTGGTCATGTCTACAACTAATATTACCACATTCTTTCAAGTTAATTTTGGTTAACGAAAAAAACTCAACGGATACATTTGTATTCAAACTTGTAATAGGTATTTTTACATATTAATTTTGTACTCTTTAGTTTTAATGTTAGCATCTAGCATAATAAGCATTTACTAGCCATATTTTTTATTTTTAAAATATAATATTTTTGAAACAAATTAAATTCGAGGTTAAAGCTCAAGCCAACTGGGTCAAAGCTCCGTATTGTTGGCGTGTCAATTACAAACCAGCCCAATTTTGGATTCTTTCTATAGATGGGTCGAACTCGACTATGGGTCGATGGATTAAACCAGCCCAATTGGTTTGTAGTTCGAACTCGACTTCGGGTCGATGGATTTTCGAGTCGACTCGTGGGCCAATTTGAGAATAGTGCCCATACTACTACATATACACAATCAATTGACTTGTCTTCTCTCCCATAGAGTAATTTTGAGATCTGATCAATAAATAGTGCCCACTTGTGTTGTATTGTACGATGATTGTCCATTTTAAGTTACTCAATAGCTTCTATCATATTCTGATTGAGAAATATTAAAACTTGCAAGTTGCAACCCCTCAAAATGAGAGCATTCACAACCGTGAGTATTGGGTGATGTGGCGAATTTTGAAAACGGCAAGCCTTTAGATTTTGAGTGTATTTTTTGGGGCTTTATGTTTATATTTGCTTGTTAGCAAAACCCAAAAATATAAAATTTTATATTTTCTTGTTAGCAAAACCCAAAAACTAAAGTATTATACTGATAAATATTTTTTCTTTTGTGAAAATGGATATTTAATGTAATGTCTTTATTTTATTTTATTTTATTTACATTTTTACGTGTTTTTACACCAATAATATTTATGTTAGGCATATCAAACGATAAGCAGTCATACTCTATCAATTGTATATGTATATGTATATTTTTAAATTGAAATATCGTATTCTAAAAAACAATATAGGAAATGTATGACTTTTCATAATATACGTATGAAGTTTTATTTAAAAGATATGACATGTCGACCCGCCTATTCATTATACTGCTTCACACAAAATTTATGTTTTTACATAAATTAGAGCTAATCTTATTCGTCTACATTCAATTTGTCAAAAGCAACATAATATGTATATTTAGGGTAGGGGTTGGTTCAAATAAAAACTAATCCTGGTGTGAGAACCGTGAGAACCATATTTGACGCTATTTTTAATTGTATGTGATGCTATTTTTAATATTAGATGATGCTATCATTTTTACAAATGTTAATATAAATTGTATTGTTATTTTTAATAAAATTCATTCTGGTTAAAAATAGCACCAAATACAACAAATTATAGCACTACGCACAATTAAAAATAGCAGTTCTCACGGTTCTCACAATAAGACTTAGTTCTCATTTGAACCACGCAAAATGTTATGTTTGTATAAAATAATTTAAAATAATGATTCACATTACCTTATAAAAAATAACTTTTCTCTAAATTATTTGAATACTTATGTACGTGTAAGTTTGGTATTAATTGTGCTATAGATAAAAAAAGTAATGTTGTTAAGTTGAAAAAGAAGATATTCTATGTAGTTACATGATATCTCTCACATGTTTCGTGATACTACACACATATTACACGTTACATATATGAAAATAAAAAAAATCATATGCTTATTAGTACTAGTAAGTGAATTATGTTAACAATTTGGGTTCATTGCAAATTAATGACTGATAAATTGAATTGGATTTCATAACAACCAGCATAATATCAATAAAAAATACATAANAAAAAAAAAAAAAAAAAAAAAAAAAAAGGCATACCTTAAGCGTGAGTTGTGAGTCATCTGGTGTTTCTACAGTTATCTCTATTACAGTGGGTAGAACTGCAAAATAAAAAGAAAATATTTTTTCTTGAATTTATCAGCTTTCATATTTCATTTGTTGGTTTCATTATGGAAACAAACAAGTAAGGAAAAACAACAAAAGGGCCCAATTGAACTGCAAAATATGCATGTATGCATCTCATTATTATCATTTTCCTTTTTCTTTTGATGATTTTTAATGAAATTAAAGAAGTAAAAAATAGATAAAATACTTTCCCAACACAAACAGTTTTCTTTTGATGAAAATATTAAGATGGTTGGTTATTGAAGATATTAAAAGAAAAATATCCTCTCTTAAAAATGGAAATTAATAAATATTTAATAAAAATAGTATTAAAGAGAATTCAAGAAAATGTGAAAACAGAGGCATACATATGGATAAGATATCATACCTTTCTCTTCTTTCTTCTTCTTGTCTCCTTTGGCTTTATGGGTTTTAGCTTTTCCAGATTTAGGAGCCATTAATGGAAAAAGATGTGTATTGTGATGATAATAACTATGCTAACAAGACTAAAACTCACTCATGGATGAACCAGAAGAAGAAAAAATGAAGAAGGTACATAATGAAGAGCTTGTCAAATTGTTTTGCAGTATTGCAATC